CGGAAAAAAGCAAAACAAGGAAAGGAAAAGAAGGAAGGAAGGAAAGCCCCACCTGTTCATCACCTCTTACGTACAAGGCCAGCCACGTGGATGACAGGTTGAGCGCTATATATGTGTATTTATATAGTCAAACAGAGCTGCCCGGTAAACCGTAGGCAGAGAGGGAGAAGACGACAACAGAGGGGCTATGACAAACTGTTTCGTCGGAGTTTCATATAACATATGCATATGAAAAGGTAAAATTAGTATTAGAATTTCTAGTTTTATACATGTGATGTATATACGCAGAGAGAGAGAGAGAGAGAGAGAGAGAGAGAGAGAGAGAGAGAGAGAGAGAGAGAGAGAGAGAGAGAGAGAGAGAGAGGTGGATGTGTTTGCGGAGAGGTGCAGAAAATTGCCGCCGTGAGTGTGGCGACTTTCGCTCTAGATACAGCGATAATGATCGTGCGTTCTATTCGAGGGAAGACGGCAGTTCGAGTTTCATCTACTGGTCGACATTGTCGGCAATTGGAGGATGAACGTTTCTACCATTTTGTTGAATTGATTTGATGTGAATTGACAGAGAGAGATTCGTTCCCCCTTGCCCCACACCCGCATCGTTCTCCTCACTTTCGACGTCACAATCAAATGAAATCATAATCCTCTCTGCTGTGCTGCAGACCCATTTCTTTGTTTGATTGATTGGTTGGGGCATTGGTGTTAATTGGCACAGAAGATGGACTCACAGATGCATTGAACGGATGAAAACGCCATAACCTGGTCATCGATAATCGACTGTAATTTGCTCCATCCCATCTACTACGTCTCATCTTCCTCGTTCACCCGCCGCATTTGTTTGTTTGCTAATTAATTAGTCTTGTACACTGCCACGTGTCAGGAGATCGATCCTGCAGAATACTAATTAACATTGTTACTGCTGACTTCCTGGAGTGGAGGGTTAACGTATACGCATGACAAGGTGAATTTCACGTTGCCATTGATTGTTTTTTGCCCCCCCCCCTCTCCCGCTAATTTGTAATAAACTCTTGAACGCAGGTGGTGGTGACACGTGGACGGTGCATGCCATTCCTTGCAGCTGTGTGATCGACACGTCATCTCGAGGTGCCAGTCGCTCTGCGGGTAAGTTCCTTCTTCTCTCTCTCTCTGTCTTCTTATTCTTGTTGTTCTTCTTATTCTTCTTAGGGTTTTTGTGCGCCCTCCGGAGACTTGTACGTGTGGATCGATTTAATTAACTAATTAATGAATTTAGTTAACTAATTAATGAATGAATTAATTAATTAATGGCAGCTTGTAAGAACTTGGGATCCGTGGAAGGAAAGCAGTATGGCCGCTTTTGGTCACTGTTCTTCTTCGTTTTCTTCTTCGTCTTCTTCTTCTTCTGCTGCTGCTCCTCTCTTTCGCCGTTCGCCTCTTCCACTGCCGTCCTCCCTCTGCTGTCTGCTTTTCCACCGCCTCCTCTTCCTGCTCTCTCTCTCTCTCTCTTTGTGCTTTTTTGCCCTATGAAAACTTGCGCGTCGCGGGGAATTTTCAGTCCTACGAAGATATCCTAAAACACCTCTCTTTATGTGTGTTAAATATTTATTAAATATATATTATAATGTGCTACTAATCTACAATCGTATTATTATATTGAATTATTAAAATCGTAGATGAGCTGGCGCTCGTCCAGCTCTCACCTTACGTGAGTGATGACATGGCAGGGCGTCTTATGAGAATTGATAAAGCCGTCCTGTGTCCGGAGGAGAAGTCGCTGGAGCAGCAGCGGTACCAATGATAGGGAAGATTACACTCTTTTTTTTTTTTTTTTTTTTTTTTTTGAGAATATACGCCGTCTTTAAGTTGCTCGCGGTGGGGAGCCCCCTGGGATGCGTTTAGCCCAACTCGGGCTTTCTTTCTCTTCTCTGCATCTTCTTCCTTCCTTCTTCTTCCTCACTTCTCCGCGTCTGTGCGGTCTCCTGGTGTGTCTTTCTCTCTCCACAGCTTCCTTTTTTCCGGCCGAAGTCGAAGTGCAGCTGTCTTTTTGCGCCATCTCTCATCTCTCGCATCAGCCAGTTAATCGCTTATTGTATCATTGCTCACAACGCACGCGATCAGGAGCCATCGTATTGGTTGGTGGCTTGCTATCAAAGCAGCAAGCTACCTTCTTCTTTCCCCCGAATACAACGCCCGGTCATTATAGCTGTGTATTTAACAGACTGAAAGATACCACATATACACAGCTATAATGACCAGGCGTTCTATTCGGGCGAAGTCGGGTAGTCGTGGACTCGCAATTGCCGGTTTTCTTGGGTTGCGTCGCCCTCCCTCCCTCCCTCCCTCCCTTCTCCGCTCTTCCTCTCTCTCTCTGTGTCTGTTTGCTGTTCCCGCCTGCCCTTTCCCTTTTCTCTCTCTCTCTCGCTCTCCATGTTCTCCCCTCTCTTTGGGTGTTTGCATTCTCCGGCCCCTGAGGTGGCGCTCGATGTGCTATTCTCGTTGTGTTTGCGTTCTGCAGCCTCAAAGGTGGAAAATGTGTGCCACTGTGTCTGGTTGTGATTGCTGTGTATCGGATCTTCCATCCACTCCAGGGCGCAAGAGGGCGATATTTTCTCTGATTACCTACCTGCGCGGCAGGAGAAAGAGGCTGATTTGGGGCTCAAGGTGCGCACGCCATCCACGGCGATCGTGATTGGAAGAGTGCTTGAGAGTTTAGCTGGAAGGAAGGAGGAGAAGAGAGGGCTGGCTGCTGTCATTGGATTCTTCATTCCGTGTCTACCTCTCGCCTACCTCGCTCCATTTTTGTCTTTGACGACTGGTGTGATCGATTTCTTGTCCATTGATTGCACGGTTGTGATTGAGAAGTAAGCGGGCGATGGACGGCGTGCAAGAGCGACGGAGAGGAGGTAGGAAGCGGAAAGTGGAATCGCCAGTCTTGAGCAAGAAGCAGAAGACGGGGGCTAACGATAATAGTAGCCCGCCGGCGGCGAAGCTGGTCAAGGTGGAGATGCCGCGATCGGGACGCTCCGTGGGTGTGGAGAGGGTGGCGGCATCGAAACTGCTTTTAGATGACATAGCGAGAAAGGAGGAAGGAAGGATGAAGCAGCAGCAACATGAGCAGCAGCAGTCTCAGCAGCAGCGCGAGCAGCAGTGTGCGGATCAGGAGCGCCGGCGAGAGGAGACGTGGAAGTTGAGTACTCCGCAAATGGGAGGCGAGGAGGTGGAAAAGGGAAGGAAGAAGAAGAAGAAGAAGAAGAAGAAAACAACGGAAGCTGGCGACGGAGCGGGTTTGGTGCAAGATTTTCCAATGTTGTCCTCGAGGGAGAGGAATCTGCAGTCGCGCAGGTCACCATCTGCTGCTGCTTCGGTAAAGCGGAACGCGGCAATTGGCGGGGCGCGGAAGGCGATGGGGGAAGACGGAGATGGAGAGGTTGGTTTGGATGGGAGTAGGGATGTGGAGGAGGGAGTTGTGGATGGCGGGAAGAGCGCGGAGGAGGATGGGGGGCTGAGCTCAGGCCGTGAAAAGGTCCAGGCGCAAGGCTTGAAGGCGAGGAGGAGAGGGTCTATCGGCGGCGCACGGCTTAGGGCAGCGGTTCGGGGGAGGGTGCGCCGAAGGGGTGCAAGGAGGGATCGCGAAGGCGACGGGAGGGAGGGAGGTACGAGGGGAGCCAGCGAAGGAAGAGGCAGGGCGCGGCGGAAAGATGGCGATAATGGATGCGGCGACAAGGGTGGGAGCCAGGAGGAGGAGGAGGATGAGGAGGAGGAGGATGAGGAGGAGGAGGAGGAGGAGGAGGAGGAGGAGGAGGAGGAGGAGGAGGAGATATCTGAGGAAGAAGCAGCTAGAGAAGGCCGAGCAGCGTCGGAGGGAGAAGAGAGGCGCAAAGACGTATTGATGGATGATGGGGAGAATGGGGAAGCGGGCGCGCTGCAGTCGCCCGTAGCAGACGGGTCGCCGCCATCTGGCAGCGCCAAGCGCGGTCGAGGGCGGCCAACGAAATCTCGCGCTGCTGGCGGCGGCGCCTCTCATCTATCGAATCCTGCGCCTACGGCAGGCGGGGGAGGTGGTTTCGCCATTCCTCTCATTCTCGACGATGCCATGGGCGAAGACGTGAAGGACGCACCCTTCATGGATGCCGTTGTGAAAGTGTTTTGCACCCACACGGAGCCCAATTTCTCCCTCCCGTGGCAGCGAAAGAGGCAATACAGTTCCAACAGCAGCGGCTTCATCATCGGCGGAAGAAGGGTGTTGACAAACGCACACTCCGTGGAGCATTACACGCAGGTTAAGGTCAAGCGGAGAGGGTCTGACGTTAAGTACTTGGCCAGCGTGTTGGCCATCGGCACGGAGTGCGACATAGCTATGCTGACCGTCGAGGACGAAACCTTTTGGCAAGGAGTGGAGGCCCTTCAGTTCGGCTCGCTGCCCAGACTGCAGGACGCTGTCACCGTCGTCGGATATCCCATCGGAGGGGATACCATCTCGGTGACCAGCGGTGTGGTCTCGAGAATAGAGGTCACGGCCTACGTGCATGGGGCGACTGAGCTCCTAGGTCTACAGATCGACGCTGCTATCAACGCCGGTAATTCCGGCGGGCCGGCCTTCAACAGCAAGGGACAGTGCGTTGGGATTGCCTTCCAGTCGCTGAAACACGAGGACGCGGAGAACATAGGGTACGTGATTCCTACGCCGGTGATTACGCATTTCATCACGGATTACGAGAGGAACGGAGAGTACACGGGCTTCCCTGTGTTGGGGATAGAATGGCAGAAGATGGAGAACCCGCACATGAGGAAAGCGTTGGGGATGAAAGGAGGAGAGAAGGGGGTCAGGATTCGAAGGGTGGAGCCGACGGCGCCCGGGGCGGCAAAGCTGTTCGCGTCAGACATCCTTTTGAGCTTCGATGGTGTTGATATTGCCAATGATGGGACTGTGCCCTTCCGTCACGGGGAGAGGATAAGCTTCAGCTACTTGGTCTCCTTGAAGTACACGGGAGAAGCAGCCAACGTGCGCGTTTTGAGAGGCATGAAGCATCTCGACCTCAACGTGGACTTAGCCAATCAGAAACGATTGGTCCCTGTTCACATCAGGGGAAAGCCCCCCTCCTACTATATCGTTGCTGGGATCGTTTTCACTCCCGTCTCCGTGCCTTACCTCCGGTCAGAATACGGCAAGGATTACGACTACGAGGCGCCCGTGAAGCTGCTTGACAAACTCATTCACGCGATGGCCACGACCGAGGACCAGCAGGTGGTGGTCGTCTCCCAGGTGTTAGTTGCTGATGTCAACATCGGCTATGAAGATATCGTGAATACCCAGGTCGTCGCATTCAACGGGAAGGCAGTGCGGAATCTGAAGTCGTTGGCCATGATGGTGGAGGCTTGTGATGATGCCTACCTCAGATTCGAATTGGAGTACCAGCAGCTTCTCATCTTGGAGATGGAGTCGGCGAGGGCGGCGACCCAGGAGATCCTGAAGACGCATTGCATTCCGTCTGCCATGTCGGATGATCTCAAGTCCTGATCCTGATCTGCCGCGCCCAGATCCCTTGCTTGTTCCGTCTTCTGCGGACAGAAGTACTATAGCCGCAGCGATGATGCGTGTCCCTCCCGACTGCAGCGATGGCGGCGGCTACAACGGGCGCCGACGATGGCGATGAGGCGAGCAAGAGAGGGGGGGGAGGGGGAGAGGGAGAGGAGGGAATCTTCTTGATTTGAACGATGAATGATGAAATATGAATGGTCTGTAGAATTCAGGAGGTCGCAGTCGTGGCAGGTGGGGTGTGTTTGGTTACGCATCCTGTCGGATTGCCCTGCCGACTAGCTGCGTGTGGGACTGAGGAAGAAGAACGGGAAGAAGAGGACCACAACCGAATGAATGGGTTAAGCTGCGTGTGGGACTGAGGAAGAAGAACGGGAAGAAGAGGACAGCAACCGAATGAATGGGTAATAAATAACAAGGAGAGGCAAAGGCACCAGGGAGAAGCAGCAAGGCGGGTAATAGGAGGAGTGATTGACAGGAGGAGAGGAGCTCAAAGAGGATGGGTGGTCTTGGTTGTCGTCGGGGTCTGTTGGTCTGTATTGGGGACCACGTGCCTGGTTCTGCAAGCAAATAACAAGGAGAGGCAAAAGCACCAGGGAGAAGCAGCAGCAAGGCAGGAAAGAGGAGGAGCGATTGACAGGAGGAGAGCAGCTCGCAGTGCACGGGCGGTTTTGGTTGTTGTCGGAGTCTGTTTGTCTGTATTGTGTACCATGTCCAGGGTTCTGCATCACCACCACATGTCCTCTTTTATTTCATAGAGAGGTTCCCCCCCCCCCCCCCCCCCCCCCCCCCCCCCCCACCTCTTCAATTTTTTACTTGCTGTCTTAATCGGCCTTTGTCAGATTTTCAATGTCAATTTTGTCAGATGAAATCTATAGGTGCCGTGTGTCGGTTATCTCCACGCCGATCAGAATTTTTTGGCTGCCTGTATCGATCGCTATGGGGCACTGAGGTTGTGTTTTATGGATGGATGGGGGTGGATGGATGGCAAAGCAAAAAATGATGCGATGATGGCAAGTGACCGTTTTTCGGTGTAGAGTCTCTGTTCCACTGTCGCTGCGGCTTGGTCACGGGGGCTATGGAGGTTTCTTCAACATGCAGATCGACCAGTGGCAGAAAGTGATGATGCGTGTGCTTTCTACTTCACACACGGGGCAAATAAAATTGGATGAGATTAGACCAGATTACATCGGAATACGTACGATGAGGAGACCTTATCTGATCAAGTCAGATCATTGATACCCTGCACCCTCCCCCTCCCTCCCCCCCCCCAAGCAACGGCTCTCATTCTGGTCACGGAGGCGGCGTCTCTTGCTCAGCGGGGTGTCTCTCTCTCCCTCCCTCCCTCTCTCTCTCTCTCGCTCGCTTCACCTGCCATGAGGTTGTTATGATGATTGCGATCCTGCTCTGTAACTCTTCATTTGCATATACAGACGCTAAGCGTCTGCTCTTCGAGCCTCTCTCTCTCTCTCTCTCTCTCCCTCCCTCCCTCTCTCTCGGTGCTTACCACTGCTGCTGTGTTCCTCATGGTCGAGCGTGCTGTAGCTTGCTGTGGGTGCGCTTTGCTCCTCTCTTATGCTGTTCAGACGTTTAAAGCGGATGTGAATACCGCCACCAGCACCTTTGCCGCCATAGTGGTGGCCTTTTCTGCCCCCTCACCGCCTCGTTTGCATTTGTTTCTTTCTTCTCCCCGTGCGTCTTACTGTTTCAGCAGTCATTACTGATCGGACCTACCCCTTGTATTGTCCTCTCTGTGCTCCTCTCCTCTCCTCTCTCTCTCTCTCTCTCTCTCTCTCTCTCTCTCTCTCTCTCTCTCTNTCTCTCTCTCTCTCTCTCTCTCTCTCTCTCTCTCTCTCTCTCTCTCTTGCTCTCGCTCTGTCTCCTTCTCCCTCCGTCCCTTCTTTCTTCGTCTCTCTTTCTCTTGCCGTGGGCCGTTTCTGGTTCTTTCTGTTGGCATGGGGAGAAGGAATAGCAACTGCAGTAGTTTAGTGGGGTTTGGGAATGCTGTCAATGTCTGGTCGGTTGGTATCTTGTCGATTTCCTCGTGCGAATGAGGATCCCACAGGTTCCTTTTTGTTAAGCAAGCCACTTCGTCCTGTTTAACCACTCTGCCAAGCCACTCAGCTTCCCAGGCACAGTTTCAGTCGAAGAGTGCAGTCGCGGCCCTCCTTTATCTAAGGGCGGCGTAGAGAACTGCACGGCGGTGCCCCAATCTGCGCTGTTGAACAGGAGGGCAGGGAGCGAAGAGTTGCGTTTGAGAGCTTGAGAGCAGGAAGTGAATGAAGGGTCGCTTGTGGCCACCCTTGATATAACCATAGCAGCCTCTCATGGCTTCCATCCAATGTGGGCGTGTAAAAATGATCATCATGATGCTGCGGCAAGTTGCTAGAGAGGGTGGTCGTCATAATCCTGCAGTAAGTTTTTAGAGAGGATTTGCCGGTGAGTTATTCGTCACTGTAATCGTTTTACCGTTTTCACCCGAACAGAACTTACGGTCATTTTTGCTGCATCCGGACTGAAAGTTGGGTCAAATACAGATCTGATGACTGTACGTTCTACTCGGGAGAAGATGGTAGTTGCCATGCAATCTGTGCATGTCGAGAGGAGTTGTATCCATTCCCATTTCACTGCATGTGTGTGCCCCTCGCTTCATTTTTCTCTCTCCTCTTTAGTTCAGTTGTTCGTCTCCTATGTCCACTTCTACTATTTTACGCTGGTTTAAGAGAAATCCCCAGCGCGATGGCACCGCTGCTGGGAGCTCTTGTGCTTTGTTTCTTTCCTTCACTACGGCCTTTTTGTTTTTCCCCCTTCTGCACATACTACTTGGAGAACAGTTCTGTATCTCCTCTCCTCTCAAGCTGAGGAGAGGGATAGAGATGGCTTCCTCTCCTCTCGACCCTAGGAGAGATAGAGATGGCGTCCTCTCCTCTCCTCTCGACCTGAGGAGAGATAGAGATGGCGTCCTCTCCTCGACCTGAGGAGAGAGATAGAGATGGCATCCTCTCCTCACCTCTCGGCCCGAGGAGAGTGATAGAGATGGCTTCCTCTCCTCTCGTCTCCTCTCCTCTCGACCTAAGGAGAGTGATAGAGATGGCTTCCTCTGCTCTCCTTTCCTCTCGACCCGAGGAGAGTGATAGAGATGGTGTCCTCTCCTCTCCTTTCGACCCGAGGAGCGATGGCAAATGACGGATGTCTTTTCATCTGCGAGGAAGCCGAAGAAGGAGAGGATATGGTGGAGACCAATGCTTCGTCTGGCCGAGGGATCGAATACTTCTGATATGCAAAACTGAAGGTGTGTGCATTGAGTCCCTCATGTTTGCGTCTGTCTCTCTCGCGGCATGGATGCGATGGATGACGAGGGAGGGGCGGGGCTAAGTTCGTGTTCATCCTCTTTGATCATCGTAGTATTCGTGCCCACTGTCTTTCGTTAGGGGATGTGTTGGTTGTCTGTTTGTTTGCTTGATTGATTGCTTGATTGATTGCTCGATCGATTGCTTGTTTAATTGATTGATTGATGGATCGATCAGTCGTTAGAGGAGACTGAACGATCTGTTGATCGATCGGTCGATCAAGTCGACGATACACAACATTAACCAAGGGGGAGCGGGAGGGTTAGTAGTGACAACCCCCCCCATGTGTTCTGTGTTCGTGTTTGATGGGCATGGAGGAATCTTAGTTGATAGCGCGAGGAAGTAAAAGCGAACTCTATTTTTGGCAGATTTCGTTGTGTGTGCCATAAATGCAGCGGAAAGGAACAGAGATATGATACACGATCCCATTCAATGGGTTGCTTGCTCAAGCCTTAAGCCACTTCTCCCTCATCCCATCCCTGCCTTCCCACGCTGCTCTCTCCCTCCCTCTGGCGCATGCACACATTTAACGCGTATTACATAGGCATTACAGAACACCCATTGTGAATGGACTAGGGTGACATTTTGCAGACGGGTGTTGTGAATTGGCGGGGGGTTGCCGGGCATATATCATTTTGCTTTTCTGGTTTGTCCAGTATTTCCAGCGGTCCCCCCTCCCGGCCCCCCCTTTGCCTCCCCCCCCCTCTCTTTGGCGCCTGTTCTTTTGTTGTTTGTTTTTGTTTTTGTTTTTTTGTAGGGCCCTGGTGGTCAGCCGAAAGCATGCCACGAGGCTGGCAAGGCGATGAAGAGTCTTGGGTTGGAGGGAAAGGAGCTATTGGTATTTTTCTTGCCGATGTTTTGTCTGTGCAGGTTTCGAACTCTCTTGTTTGCTTCTCTGTGGTGTAGCGATGAAGTCTAACAAGGCTCTGCTTATATGAGGAGTGGTAATTAAAGCGCGCTGATATTTTGGAGTGCATGTGTGGGCGCGGTGTCGAGTAGCGGCATGTGGAGGGATGGTCCAAAACATGCCGTAGCGGTGAGGAACGAGGATGCTCCGAAAGAAATCAGGGGAGAGAGAGAGAGAGAGAGAGAGAGAGAGAGAGAGAGAGAGAGAGAGAGAGAGAGAGAGAGAGAGAGAGAGAGAGAGAGAGAG